AGATTATCTTCTGTGTCTGTGTTAATTGGTTTCCCTTTTCTTTGTTGAAGAGGGTCTGTGCAATCCTTCTGCCTAGTCCGCCATCTTGCCGGAACCCTCTAGTCTTCAGAATTTTTTGATCATGCTTTTAAGAAAGATACTGATTCATTGACAAACCAGCTTTTTAAACAATACTGATTGTTAGTTTTTGATGGACGTTTTGAACAATGATGGCATGAAAGACTAACGTTTTACAAGCCATCCTAAATCGATTGTTTCTGAGCAAACCCTTAAAGCACAATAGTTGTCTCAATCCTAGAAATGCTGTGGATCACAAAATCAGAGCAGTAGTGCCTCAGATCTCTTTATCCCAGGCAGCAGGAGACTCATAGCAGAAAGGCCGGCTTAGGAGAGAGGCCTGCCTCAGCTTTGAAGGAGAAAGATTTCCCCTCACCACTTGTCGTTTCGTGACCATGGCTTTTGAACCCTCATTGCCACCTTTTAAAATCTCTTGGTATGGCCTTTCATGTTTTTATTGTGTGATGTCTGAAACTTTTTTTATGTTTGTGCACAATCAAGTGAAGTACAATTAAAATGAAGTGTGCTTCTATGTCCTGTCTCTGACCTGCTGTGACTCTCAACACGAGCCTCAATTTTTCTCATCTTCACAGTGGCATAATCATGCCACCTTGCCTGGGGTTAGGAGCACAGAGCATGTAGTAGGGCCTCAGTTATACTTTTATTCTCTTCTAGCTGTCTCGGGTAATGACCCTCAGCAAATTGAGTTTAGTGCCAGGTGCTGTGTTCCTAAGGGTTATACCAAAATACCCCAAACCCTTTGCTGTCAAGTCCATTCAGACTCATAGAGACCCTATTGTACAGAGTAGAACTATCTCATAGGGTTGTTTGAAACCTTTTTTGAAAAAGTATAAATAATTAATATGCCCTTGTTGTGTTTGTTGTCCCATGACCAGGCTTAGGCTTAATGATTCAGTAGAAGGACTTACAGGACTGAGGAAACCTGTTATACTTACAGTTACCGTTTGTTACAGTGATTACATAGAATATTATTATAATACTATTACATATAATACATAACATATTATTATAATATTGTAGTGGTATAATCAACAAGGGGAAAATGTGCATAAGATAAAAATCCAGAGGAAACTAAGCACAAACTTCCAGATGTCTTCTCCCAGTGGAGTCACATGGCACTCACTCATTTTTTCCAGCAACAGTGTTATGACAGCACAGTGGAAGTGTTGCCAATCAGTGAAGCTCACCTAAACCTTGGTGTCAGGGATTTTATTGTTGGTCAGGTAGGCAGGCAGCACCCATATAACTAACCTCTCAGACTTTAGTTCCCCTGTTCTCCCCCCACCCCCACCCCTTCTGCCTATTACCAGACAGAAAATACTCTAAGGTCTTAGAGATCATCCTTCAGAAGCTGGCCAAAAGCACACTTTTCTTTGGGATGTGTAGGGTTGAGCAACCCAGGTATGGTGACCTAATTTTTCTTGCACAGGTGTATTATGTTGCTTATTTTTTATATAATATGCTGAGTAGAATTGGACTAAAATCCTTGAAAGAAACCAAAAAATATAGAAGAAACACTACCTATAACTTTGCAAATTCAATGGAACTATTCCTAATTAAAGAGAAAAAAGATATTCAGTTGATTCTGGTGACAGAATGATGAGACTAGAGTGGGATGGCGAAACCACAGTTCATGGGCCAAGTCTGGCCTTCTGCCTTTGACTGTGAACTAATAATAGTTTCTGCATCTTTAAATGATTTTTTTTTTAAATAATATTTTTGATACATGAAAACATATACAATGTAAATTACAATATGCAAAATAAAGTTTTATTGAAACAGAGCCATGCCTATTTGTTTACATGTAATTTGTACCTATTTTTCATATTACAGTAGTAGAGCTAAGTAGATGCAACAGAAACCAAAATGATTCACAAAGACTAAAATATAAAATACTCACTACTTGCCCTTTAAGAAAATGTTTGCTGACCCCTGAGCTACACAGCCTTTCAGCTTTACCCCTTTGTAGCCCTCTCCTCTTAGCAGGTATCTTTCTAAACTCTGGCTGACATGATAGAGCTCATGGTTAATATTGAATGTGAGATCATGTACAACTCATTATGCTAGTTCTCACTTTTGTAGTTTAAGCATTTCAGTTAACAATGTAGTTGATGTGCTTCTTTGAACAAAGTATTTTATATCTTCATGCAAACTTTATTTTTTTATTAATAAGGATTACTTTTTTAAACATAGTTCCTAAAAAACCAGGATCTACTGATGATGAAGAAAAAATTGGAAATGAAGAGAGTGATTTAGAAGAAGCTTGCATTTTGCCTCACAGTCCTATAAATGTGGACAAAAGACCCATTACAATTAAATCGCCCAAGGTGAAGTATTTTCTGTAATTCTAAGACTAGCTGAATAGAAGCACAGCATATAACAAAGGAATCTACAAGCCTCGTACCTTTGTATTTTAGCATCTGTATGGTACATAATTTAGTGAGATAATTACTAAAATGTGGGTAACTGTGCCACATTGATGCTCAAAGAACTTGACTTACAGTGCTGTGGTCAGATCTATAGAAGAAGAGTTGTTTGCTTTCACTCATTGAATATATCCTTTGGCCCAGAACCTATACTGGTGCCTGAGGGTATTAATATGAATAATAAGTTTTATGCCAAGTTATCCTCGTCAGTATACATTTGTATCAAAAACAAAACCAAAACCCCTTTCCATTGAGTTGATTCTAACTCAAAGTGACCCTGTAAGACAGAGTAGAAAATTCCCCATAGGGTTTTCAAGACTGTAAATCTTTGTGGGCGCAAAGTGCCACATCTTTTTTTGTAGTTCAAATCACCAGCCTTTTGCTTAGCAGCTGAGTGCATAACCTCAGATTATAAATTCATTAATAAGCATATCTGTGGCAGAGAGATGATTTTTACCATACTTTTTATTTTTAAATGTTTTATCAATTTAAATCTAATGTCATTATTTATCTAAAGTTTATTCAAGGAACTGTTTGGAACTAATGGAGAAATTGGTTTTCTTTTGTTAGGATAAATGGCAACCGCTGCTGAGTACAGTTACAGGTGTTCACAAGTACAAGTGGCTGAAGCAGAATGTCCAGGGTCTCTATCCACAGTCTGCACTCTTAAGTACAATTGCTGAATTTGCTCTTAAAGAAGAGCCGGTGGATGTGGAAAAAATGAGGAAGTGCTTGTTAAAACAGGTAAGCTTTGTTGAAAACCTGCTTCACTGTATGACATAATATACCCAACACTTAAAGAGTATGCATTGATATTTTGCAGTTGGAGAGAGCAGAGGTTCGGCTGGAAGGGATAGATACAATTTTAAAACTGGCAACCAAAAATTTCTTACTTCCATCTGTGCAGTATGCTATGTTTTGTGGATGGCAAAGACTTATTCCTGAGGGGATCGACATAGGGTAAAACTTTATAACATTTTTTTCCTAAGGGAAACTGGCAGCAAAACATTGTTTCATTAAAGTTCAGAGTGTGATAATGTTCTAAGTAACATTATTTATGTTTGTTTGAAAGGGAACCCCTTACGGATTGTTTAAAGGATATTGATCTGATTCCACCTTTTAATCGAATGCTGCTGGAGGTAACTTTTGGCAAGCTGTATTCTTGGGTTGTTCAGAATGTTCGAAATATTTTGATGGATGCAAATGCCAAATTTAAAGAGTTTGGTGAGTTTTTAATAAATATGGTAATTAAAAGTATTCAAATTGATACTACAGTAATGCCAACATTCATATCAGCATTTTTTTTATAGTTTAGCTCTAAATTATGTGTTATGGAAAGTATAAAATGCTAATTTTTACTTTTATGAATACATCAGTAACTTTGTACATAGGGAAAATAAATCTGGTTTTAGTTTCTCTGAACAAAATTTGGCAGAAGACGCAATCTTAAATATTTTAATGTAAGGCTTTTAAATTTTGACATATTTTATGTGTGTCACTTATAAAATGTGTCCCAAAATGTCTGTATCCTTTGTTAATACTTATTTCTAGGGTTACTTGAATATCTACAGAAAAATCCTAGGATTGGTTTTGTGGAAGAAAATTACAACATGTCTGTTACATTTGAAATGAAACTACTGCAGCACCAGAGATATTTTGAGGATCCTTAGAGCAGGGTGGTAAATTATATAGACAGATGACGATAACCATGTGTGGAATGAAGGTGGATAGGACCATCACAAATCAGTATAGAGCTGACTGATATCCTCACTCTATGATCATCCACTAAGTAATAGAATTTTAAAAAAATTGGTGATGCTTTCTCTGTTGTGTATGTTCTTGTATCCACACACAAGAAATTTATGTGGGTGCCAATGCTTATTAGGTATCCAGCCTGTTCCTCTGCAAACTATTACCAATGAGAATCCATCGGGACCAAGCCTGGGGACGATCCCACAAGCTCGCTTTCTCTTGGTGATGCTTAGCATGCTGACCCTTCAGCATGGTGCAAACAACTTGAACCTCCTGTTGAACTCGGGCATGCTTGCTCTCACACAGACAATACTACGGCTGATCGGTAGGTGGTCACTGGCTTTTCTAAAGAAAATGTGATATTTGAAAATGTCACGTATAAAATTGTCAAGTTTTGTCTTGATCTCTTTTTGTGAAATTTTTAAACACTTCATGAAATACATATAACAGAATTTACCATTGGAACTATTTTAAAGTGTATAATTTAGTGGAATTAAGTACATTCATAGTGTGTGCAAACATCACTATTACCTATTTACAGAATTTTTACATCACACCAAATGGAAACTCTTACCCATTAAGCAATTACTCTTCATTTCTCATTGACCTTTCCCCAATTCTGGCTGCCACTAATCTGCTCTGTCTCTAGAATTTGCCTAGAGATTTTAGATATTTCATATAAATGGGATTGTAGTGTAGTGCCATTGACTGCTAAATGGAAGGTTGGCGGTTCAAACCCACCAGCCACACCGTGGAAGGAAATCTGGGCAGTCTACTATCGTAAAGATTAACCGCCTTGGAAACCTGAAGGGGTTTTTATGAATCACAAATCACTCAATTGGACTGAGTTTGGTTTTCTTTCTTTTTTTATTTCACTTAGCATATTTTCCATGTTAATCTACACGATAGTATGTATCAGAACTTTGTTTCTTTTATGACTGAAAAATACTCCATTGTGTGCCTATACCACATTCTTTTTAATCATTCATCAGTTGATGGACATTTGGGTTATTTTCATCTTTTGGATATTGTGCATAGTGCTGTTATGAGCATTTGTGTACAAGTTTTTGTTTGAACACCTGTTTTCAGTTCTTTGGGGTATAACCTAGGAATCGTGGTAATATTTGGGTCATGTGGTAATTCTGTGTAGCTTGTTGAGGAGCTGAGAAATTGTTTTCTGTGGAAGCTTCATAATTTTATAGCAATGACTTTGAATATGACCTTAATTTAGAGACCATCTCAAGAATAAGTTTGATACATTGAACACTGATAATCTAAAACCAGACAAGTTGTGAGAGGAAATCAGGAACATAGTACGTGAAGAACGCAAAAGGTCATTTAAAAGACAGGAAAGAAAGAAAAGAGGAAAATGGATGTCAGAAGAGATTCTGAAATTTGCTCTTGAAAGTAGAGTCACTAAGCAGATGGAAGAAATGACGAAGTAAGTACAAAAGTGGAACAGATTTCTAAGAGCAGCCTGAGAAGACAGGGTAAAGTATTATAATGAAAGACCTACAGCTATGAAATCAAAAGAGAAGAACATATTCAATATTACTCAAGCTGCAAACTCTGAAAAAAAAATGCAAGCCTTGAATTGCAATATTGAAGGATTCTTTGGGCCAAATACTAAACAACTCAGGAAGCATCAAGAGAAGATAGAAGGAATACACAAGAGTCACTGCATCAGAGAACTTGGTCAACTTTCTACCATTTCAGGAGGTAACATAGGATCAAGAACCAGTGGTATTGAAGGAAGAAGTCCATGCTGCATCGGAGGCATTGGTGAAAAGCAAGACTCCAGGAATTGATGGAGTACTAATTGAGATGTTTTCAGCAAATGAATGCAACACTGCAAGTGCTCATTTATCTGTGCCAAGAAATTTGGAAGACCTGGCCAATAGACTGAAAGAGATACATATTTGTGCCTATTCCAAAGAGAGGTGATCCAACAGAATGCAGAAGTTATTGAACAATATCATTAGTACCACACACAAGTAAAATTTTGCTGAAGATAATTAAAAAATGGATGCCTCGACAGGGAGGTGTGAGAAATTCAAGCAGGTTTCAGAAGAGTACGTGGAATGTGGTGTATCATTGCTGGTGTTAGATGGATGCTGAAAGATCACCTGCATTTTATTTACTATTCAAAGATATTCAGCTGTGGTCATAACAAATTATGGATAAATTGTTTTCTGTGGAAGCTTCATAATTTTATAGCAATGACTTTAAATATGACCTGAATTTAGAGACCATCTCAAGAATAAGTTTGATACATTGAACACTGATGATCTAAAACCAGACAAGTTGTGAGAGGAAATCAGGGGCATAGTACATGAAGAAGTACATTTTCGAAGAATGGGGATTCCCGAACACATAATTGTGCTCATGGGAAACCTATCCATAGCACAAGACACAGTCATTTGAACAGAGCAAGGGGATATTATGTGGTTTAAAATCCAGAAAGGTGTGTGTCAGAGTTGTATCTTTTCACCATACTTAGTCTGTATACTGAGCAAATAATCCAAGAAGCTGGACTGTATGAACAAGAATGCAGCATCAGGTTTGTAGGAATACTCATTAATAGCCTGCCATATGTAGATGACACAACCTTATTCACTGAAAGTGAAGAGGAGATGACACACTTGCTGATGAAAATCAGAGACCACTGACTTCCATATGAATTATACCTCCACATAAAACAAAAAAGCACACAAATGGACCAATATACAGTATTATGATGAATAGAGAAAATACTGATTATCTCAAGGATTTCATTTTGCTTGAGTATGCAATCAATACCTGTGGAAGTAGCAGTCAAGAAATAAAAGGACGTATTGCTTTGGGCATATCTGCTACAGAAGACCTGTTTCAAATGTTTAAAAGCAAAAATATCACTTTGAGGACTAAGGTGTACCTGATGAAAGCTCTGGTTATTTTTAGTGACTTCATATGCATGTGAAAACTGTATAATGAATAAGGGAGAATGAAGAAAGAAGGATTGATGCCTTTGATTTTTTTTTTTTGGTGAGAAATATTGAATATACCATGAACTTCTAGAAGAATGAATAAATCTGTCTTAGAAGAAGTACAGCCAGAATGCTCCTTCTAAGGAAGAATTGCGAGACTTTTTCCCACATATTTTGGACATGTTAATAAGAAGGAGCAATCCCTTGAGAAAGTGGTAAAGTAGAGGGTCACCGAGAAAGAGGAAGAACCTTAAGAAGATGGATTGACACTATGGCTGCTGGGCTGAAATATAGCCATAATTGTGAGAATGACACAGGACTGGACAGCATTTTTTTTTTTTTTGTACGTAGTGTTCCTTTGAGTTAGAACCAACTTGACAGCACCTAACGACAACAACTAGCAGTGTATGAGGATTTCAGTTTCTCACATCCTCTTCAGCACTTGTTACTTATTTATTTATTTTATAATGACCATTGTAGTGGTTGTGAAGTGGTATTTTATTGTGGTCTTGATTTGCATTTCTCGAACAACACTCTTTTAAGTGGGTTCCCTAAGAAGAACAAAACCAATGAAACATATACATAAAAATTATGGAGAGAAAGAGTGCACAAGAAGTGAGAGTGAGTACTCAAATTCAAGAAAATGGCTTATGCAGTTGTGTAGGATAGCAAATTCCTAATCTGTGGGTCAGGTGTCAGGCTCTGGGGAGTTATCTTGACTCACATGATAATAGTGGGTGGTGAATCCCAAAATCTGCAGGTCAGATCGCAGGCTGCTTGCTAACATCCCAAAAATGGGAGTTCAGATGATGATGAGTTGAAATCAAGTTCCAGAGAGTGAGTGAGCTTTGCTGGGACATCCATTTATATACTGTAAGCAGGCTATATATACCCCAAGAAAACTCTCTTATAGCAGATTGGCTGCTCATATCAGATCTCATGATGGAGTTGATTACATTATATTATGTTACAGAAGAACATTCAGTCCAGTGTCTTCTAAACCAGTGAGACTTGCCTAGTCAAGTTGACACGTAACATTAACCATCACTATCTACCCCTTGTCTACTTGATGACTAACATCTCTTTAAACCATGTTGTTGTTGTTATTTGCCGTCGAGTCGGCCCCGACTCATAGTGACCCCTCCTTGGGTTTCTGAGGCAGTATCACTACGGAAGTAGGATTGCCCA